ATCCACTCCGGCAACCGCTACGAACGGTGGCGGCACAATAGATAGCGGCGACCCGACAGCATACATCCTGTTAAGGATCCCACATTGATATTAGAAGGGACTTAACAATGGTTTATAATAGGCATGAGTTACTCCTCTCATTGCCAATTGGTTTTGAGATGGAACCCATGAATATTAATATGGTATCAAGCCCACAAGCTCAAACGAGCATTCGGTCCAAAATGGGATCCGATCTAAGATTGGTGAACCCAAAAGAGGCACCATCTTGAGGGGCATGTTAAGGATCCCAGAATATTAATACATCCTGCCAATAGGAACGTGTCCGCGACGATCTCACAAATCCCGACGACTTCCAACCACAACTGTTTCTCCTCCGGCTACCTTCATCGATCCTTCTGGTGGGTTTCTTCTTCTTTTTAGAAAACGAAAAGATCTCTATTTTATAAATTTTTTTAAAAGTTTTTTTAAATAAAAGTTGTTTTAAAATGAAGGATTTTATTTTAAGTTTTATATTTTTTTTATTAAATGCAAATAAGGTAAAAAAATCTTTTTAATGATTTTGCTTTCAAAGTAAAGTTTCTAAATAGATTTATGAAGAGAGAAGAGTAAAAGAGTTTTTCTTTTTAAATAGATTTTTGTTTTAAATGGTAGTTCGGTGACCATTTGAATTTTAAATTAAAAGTCTTTTAGTTTCCTTATTTTAAGTTTCTTTTTGGAAAAGCATCAAAGATTTTTTATTTTTTTTAAGTTAAAGGAAAGTCTTAAAATTGAAGTATTTAGGAAGAAAATGGAAGGTTTAATTTTAAGAAAATTTCGTTTAAACGAGCTTTAAAAAAAAAAAATTCCTTAGAGTTTTTTTTTTAAATAAAATTTACAAATAAAGTTTTGTTGTTTTTAAAGAAAATTAAATACACTTCTAAGGTGTTGGCACATTGGCAAGACACTCATTGATAATTTGTTTTTTCTAATGGTGTTTGCGCCACTCTAAAATATGAACCAATAAATTTGGGACATTTAAAATCAAACACAAAGTATTTTTCTTTTTGGACCAAATATAATACGATAATTTTCGACAAAATATGGTACCATTTTCGAACGGGTGTCGTAGGGCGCTAACATCTTCCTTACGCTGAACCGACTCCCGAACCAAAATTCTATTTTCGTTGACCAAGTTTTTTTAAAAAATAGGTGACCAATCACACCTTGTAGATAATTGGTGGCGACTCCAAACCCTAATCTCGAAAGAAACCCGTCAGGGGATGACATCGGCCGCTCCGCGTCGCGATGACGTTGCGACAGCTTGGCGACTCCACTAGGGACCTTAAGAGAGTCAAGCCATTATTTTTTACATTTATTATCCTATTATATTTCTTTTTTTCTTTCTTGTTTGCTTTTTTTTTATGTTGTATTATTAATTTGGTTTGACATCACATGCATCTCGCACAAATACACAAGCCTCCTACCGGGCTTTACCTTTAAGATTACATCGGAGACTGAGTAGTGTAACCTTCGTGGAATTTTGGTTCTCGTGTAGGCGCACGAAATTCTCCACTCAAGTTAACCATATTGCGTAAGCGTATGGAAGATTTGGGGTCGCTTTCCTCTAAGTTGTGTAGGCATTAACTTTACACTCATTTTAGCATCAGGTTTATGCTATTTATTATTTGTTTGTTTAGTTTGTTTCTGTTGGTGTTAATAAAGTGATTTGTTTAAAAGAGTCTCATGCATTTACATAAGTTACTCATTTCTCACTTAAGAATCTATTTTTTTACAACAATAAAAAAAAAAGAGTTTCACAACTTTCCCTTTTCCTTTAAATTTGTTTTCTGCCAATTTTACCAAAATTGACCTAAGTCTTAAATCATTAACATTGACTGTAAATTAAAGCATGAGTTCCAGTAAGGCTCCTACCCAAGAGTGGAGAGAGCAAGACCAAGAAATTGTCCGTCGATGGTTAGAGAACATGCAACATACTCATGGTGACGCATTATCACAGAATGTCATCATGCCATTTCAAAATGTAACGTTTCCAGAAAATCAGTTGGATATCTTGAAATGTTTATGGAAGGTTTAAGACCAGATAGAAAGACCCATTTCATAAAAAAAATATGGCCACATAGCGCAGCTCCTGTACGTGCGAGTCAACTTCTCAATGGATATAACCCCAACTATCTAGGAATACCACTATCTTACAAATACCACTATAAGAGAAAATTGAGGTTTATTCTTATGATGGTGGGTTTATGTTGAAAATGGCAGTATCGTTGCTTGTAGGTAAGATATCTGTTGGTGAGATTAAAAACATATGAAAAGGAAGGGAGAAAACACATGCTTGCCGATAGAATATATCTTGAGTCTTCAGCAGAGATTCATTAATGAAGAAAGGGGGCTATCGCTATTAGCTCTGTGCTTATTCAACTTGGTTTTATTCCTTAAAGTTAGTGGGTACGTTGAAAAGCGGCTGGTCAAGCTATTTTTCAAGGTAGAGATGAGGGTTAATCTCGTAATACCCATCATTGCATAAACCTTCCGAGCACTAAATTTTTGCAGATCAAGAGGAGTAGGGAAATTTATAGGTTGCGCTCAGCTGCTATACATTTGGATCCTCAGCCATACAAATTGTCCACCAGAGTTCAAGTGGCCTCAGATCAAATTTTCAAGATCGTGGAGTAGATTACAAAATCACATCATTGAATTCAACTAAGGGGATTGGGGTCAAATCCATCCAGGGAAGGAAGAGTGGAGCATTTTCTTTCCAGGACTAAGACCAAAAGATGCGGAGTAGAGGGCCCGATGGATGTCAACCAAACCTATGATGTATAGGTGTGGTAAATTTCACAGTCTACCGTTATTGGGTCCATGGGGATGTGTATCTTATGCCCCATTAATGGTACTGTGCCAGATATGGGTACGTCAGTTTATCCCAGCCATACATGACTTAAGAAACTCTGAATTTGCCTATGATGTTGGGTTTTGCAAAAACAAAATTTAGGAGGTCGTCAAGGCGTGGAAGGCGATTGTTAGAATCCAAAGTGGCAATTACAAGGATAATATATTTGAAGTATACGAACAGTGGCATTCGAGTAGAGGAAAAACTGTGGTTCTCCTACCAACCGACAAGGGCAAAGGGAAGCTAGAGGTTCCCACTAGGAGAATTCTTTCTAAAATGAGCCCAAATCAGTCCACTCAGCGGAAGGTTCGCAGGATAGAATACGAGCTGCGAGAAGGGAACCTCACATCAGCTAAAGAAAGACTACAACTAGGGTTCAATTAAAATCTACCTCAAAACATTGAGCTGGAATTACAACAGGCAAGAAGGGAAGTCGGTTACCAAGGGAAAGAAAGAAGACCGCTAGAAGTAGAGGTTCGGGACCCTAGCAGAAGAATGTACGAAGAGAGCTCATAGGCAGCCTTGAAGGCGCGAGACAATCAAATATCATAATAAATGTCTTCTCTACAAACAGAAATCATGTCCCTTCATGAAAAAGCAATTGTGCTAGAGGAGAAAGAAGTACAATTGAGCTCAATATGCTTAAGAAAATCAAAGATTAAGGGAAACTGTTCAGGCGCTTTCAAGCCGTCTCAACAAAACCCAAAATGCTGCTGATGGGTTAATGCATGATTATGACCATATCAAGGAACAATACAACCAAGTGGGTATGAATTAAACCATGTGAGGCGCGATAACACATTGTTGCATCATAAATCATAACATGTGCTCACCCAAGTCAGACAGGCACCCCATAGGGCAGATGGTTTAGCTGAAGATGCACGAGTTCTCACATCTGCCATTACCCCTACACAGTCGAATGGCAAAAGCACACTCAAGTTCTTAAGCAAACTTCGGCGAGATCTAGAGCATTGGTGACAGTTTTATTGACAGTCTGCTTTAATGTACTTTCAATTTCATGATTTAAGCATTAGGGTTCAAATTTGGCATAATTGTTGTTTCCTTGTAATCTTAATTTATTTATTTACCCAATTTATAATAAAGCCACGAACTTATTTATTTATGGTTTTCTTTCTCTTTCTTTTTGCTTCTATTTTTAAAAAATAAAAGGGATTATTCAAGATAGCTCACTCACCGCACCACATCACACTTACCGTGCCAGACACAGGGCAAGATTAATTATGGAGGATCAAAAAGCCGAGCAGGAGAAAACAAGGAAAGATATTGAGGAGTTGCGTGAAAAAGTTAGATGTCATCCTCCTCGCGTTAGAAAAAGGCAAAGAGGCTGTGGATCCTGCTACATCTAGCAACCCCGTCCATGAGCCGCAAGAAACCCCACCTTATCTACCTGGGTACGGTCCACCTCTTAGGCTTTTGGCGGAGGGTTTCATGCATAAATATACAACGTACAACCCCCTGTATGATGTCCCGGTTGGTCAGTATCCGCATCCTTTTGTTAAGGGAGCTCAGCAAATCCCAACCAACATCGTTTTTTCGGGAGCCCGTGCAAATGATGTCACCTCCTACAGTCCTTAATCTAGGTGGTCTCCCAGCCAAGACGGACCCAGCCGGACAAAGTGCCTCCAGTAACGAGAAGTTCGAAGTTCTGGAGGAAAGATTAAGAGCAGTAGAGGGGACGGACGTTTTTGGCAACATCGATGCCTCACAATTGTGCTTGGTGTATGGATTAGTCATCCCTCCAAAATTCAAGGTACCAGAGTTTGAGAAGTACGATGGTTCTTCTTGTCCTAAGAATAATCTTAATGTACTGCAGGAAGATGGCAGCGTACGTCCAAAATGACAAATTGTTGATACACTGCTTTCAAGATAGTTTATCTGGTCCGGCCTCTCGTTGGTACATGCAGTTAGATAACTCTCATGTTGGCTCGTGGAAGAATCTGGTCGACTCCTTCCTAAAACAATATAAGCGTAACATAGACATGGCTCCAGATCGCTTAGATTTACAGAGGATGGAGAAGAAGAGTAGAGAGAGCTTTAAGGAGGATGCTCAAAGGTGGAGGGACACGACAACTCAAGTCTAACCTCCTTTATGGATAAAGAGCTATCTGCCATGTTCATCAATACCCTAAAACATCCTTTCTATGATCGGATGATAGGAAACGCTTCCACAAATTTCTCTGATATTATGACCATCGAAGAAAGGATCGAATACGGGGTTAAACATGGGCTGATAACCAATACTGCCGAGGAGTCATTAGCCGCAAAAAGGCAAGTCATTCTAAGAAGAAGGAAGGTGAGGTGCAAATTATGGGAGCAGACCGACACTCTTGGAAACAACAACAATACGGTCGGACACCACGATACACTCCGTATTTGTGACGTCCGAGAGAAGGGTACATGAATGAACCGATACCACATACGAATGAGAGGGATCCTGAGATTATTGAAGAATGGTCAATAAAGAGTTAAAACGAATTGATAGTCACTACCTATACCTGATTACGCTTGTTTACATGCGTAAAAAGAAGGTTTTAGATGCTGTTTTTACAATGTTTCAGCTTTGTTTCGGATTTTTCTCGATCGTTTGAGTTCCAATTCATGCAAAATTCATATATTATGGTTTGTGGTTGGCTTATATTGTATTTATGACATTTTAGGACCATTTGTGAGTGCAAATTAATCAAAAGAAGCAAAAAGACGAAAAAAGCATCATGGGAGGCGCCAGGCGCCTGGGAAGCCTGCAGAAAAACTGGTTTTCTTCCAACTTTGCCCTTAATGAAACGCGTCTTCCAATGCGTTTTGGTGGTTCCAACCGATGCATACGTGTAGAAGAAGTGTTCCACTAT